CAGCCGAGCAGGCCCTGCTCTTGGTAGGCAACCTCAAGTTTTTCTTCCAGTTTGCCACAGTTTAGGCTTGGCACCTAAAGTCCATCTCCCACACCAGCTGGGATCAGTTGTGTAGAGTGTTGTGTTGGAATGGGGACGGAGGCTATGCCCAAGGTTTGCAGGAGGGACTCTGGGATCAATTAGCCATGTCTGCCCAGGCTGAGCAAGGAGAAGGTGGCATGAGCGCAGGTCTGCCACCCCCACCCCCACCCCCACCTGGGCTCTGGAACCCGGACGGGTCCTCTGCTGTGATCTGAAAACTATGGTGGGCAGCAGGGCTGTTTTTGTTCCTGGCTTTGTATTCAGCACAGGGACCAGCTGCTCAGCTGTGTGATGGCATCCATTCATAGCAGTCTTATAGTTGTCCCTTTCGCAGGAACAGTTGTGAGATCAGCTCTTCCCCCATCTTGACACTGTTTTCTAGTCTGTGGATACAGAATTAACTTCAGGCCCTGGCTAATGGGCTTTGTATTTACCCCTTTGTGTGTTGGTCTTATTTCCTTCATGCAAATCTCTGGGGAAGGGAGCATCTCCCGGGAGATGTGAGTGGCAGCTGCCTGACTGCCACAAAACATTCCAGAAACTCTGGACTGTCAGGGATGTCCACCCCATCTCTTGATCCGTGTGTGGCCCAGGTGTCTGGGAGAGATGGTGAATTCAGGGTGCCATTGAGGACTCCTTGTGGGGTGCTTAGCCCTGCCTGATGCACAAGGTCAGGAGCTGAGTCAGGTGGCAGGACACAGAGCCGCTGAGCTCAAGACGGTAGGCAGTGATGGGGTCTGGGGTGTGGGGGCCGATTCGGCTGTTCCCTCACCTGAAATCCCAGCTAGAGACTTGTGTACAGATGCTCCTTGAGTTACAGTACAGCCAAATCCCAGACATCTACTGTAAATGGAAGCTGCACTGAATACCCAGATGAACCTGTCATAAAATAGAAAAATGACAAGTCTAAGACGGTCTGGACCTGGGTAAAGCACGAGTCTCTTATTTTGTCACTAGAGCATCTGCCCTTCTGTGTAGGGAGAGACTTAGGCGACATGCAATAGCTTTCCGCCCCACTCGGGAAGAAACTGGAGCAGAGCTGAGTCCTTGTCGGGAGGGAGAAAGAAGGGTTCAAAGCCCAGAGCTTCAGGGTGTCGCATCCTCCTGGGCTCCCCACAGGGCAGTCACCAGGTTGGGGTTAGGGTTAGGTTGGTGACTCTCCTACAGTGACACAGTTCACCCCTGACGCAGAGGCAGAGTGACCCTTGCTGCACAACCAGCACAGGCATTCTCCCTTCAGACGCTATCTTTTTGTTTACCAGTTCAGATAAGCCCAGATTGAGCAAAGCCTCTCTTTCAGTGTCTAATTCTGTGCCCTTCTGATTGGCACCATTGAGTGACATTCTACAGCACAAGATGGTCCTTCAGCTATGTGGAAAATGCTTGCTGTGTCCACTCTTGTCCTCTGTCTACTGAGGAGCCCATGAGGCTGGGCTGCCTGCAGCAGGATGACCTGACTTTTCCTTGTATCGAGATGGTTCGAAGTTGGGTTTGTTTATTTTGGAGTTCGTAGAGGCAACTTCTTGCACAACTCAAGGGCAGGCCAGTTGCACAAACCTGTCAGACTATGGTGACAGCTGAATGAGGCTGGGGGCTGGCTTAGGAGGAGGGTGGGTGACTTCAGACCTGCCTTCTTGCACATTCAGGAACTGCTGGCCCAAAGCTGCCCACAGAGGGTATTCTGAGCTGGCATGGCTCCAGACAGTTACTTTCTGCTCCCAATCACCTCATCCCAATTCTCTCAAAGGTGTCCCTTCCCCAGGCCCAGAGCTTTCCAGTCCAGCAGTGACACCTGCTTCTCTGTCCTGAGGCCCTGCCACAAGCCATGGCCCACTGGGATAATGGCAGTTCCTGAGTTTGCAGGCAGCCCAGGCCCCGCTCAGTCCCCATGGTTTGGAGATCCGTGCCCTGTTCTTTCAGCTGTTTTTGGGCAGAGTCACCAGAGTAGAGCTTTGCTTCTCCACCTGGGCTCTCGTCAGGGGCAGCACAGAAACGGAGGGCCCACCCACCCTCTCTGCTGAGCCACCTTGTAGCTAACATGTGGCCTGTGGGCCACAGTAGGGCTTCTGTATCTGCTCTAGGTTTGCCTGTCTCGGTGGTTTGAGAGGAGTTGGAACCCCTTCGAGGGGAGCCTGGCTGCCCTTGCTGAAGACCTCGCTTCCTATCAGCCCCTCACTCTCAGGCACAGATGGGCCCTGACTGAAGCACACACCCAGCTTCCAGGACACGTGTGCATGGAGATGCTTCCCTGTGTGTGCCAACCCCGCAGAGACAGGCGAGGCAGAGTGGGACGTGGCCTGGAGTGGAGACTGGGGTCAGACTGCTTGGGTTGGGCTCTCCTTTCCTCTGAGGATTGATGGCCTAAGGGCCGATGTGGGGATTCGTTCACTCCTTTGCTGACAGTTGATTGAAGGCCTGACCATTTATTGCCGGGCACTTGTCCAAGGTTCAGAAGAGAGTGGGAGATTTTGAAGATCTGCCTGTCCCTGACCTCTCATACCAGGGCCACAGGGTGCTGGCGAGTGCAGGGGAGAAAGGCCAGGTAGACTCTGCTCAGAGGGTCTTGAAGGGTAGTGTTCCTGGGATACCTTGAGACATGTAGTGCAAGCCACAGACTGAGGTCATCCCAATTCATAGCGAGACAGGCGGAGCAAGGCTAAACCCTGGTGTCCCCTAACTCCTGGCCCAGGCTTTTCCCCAAGGAGGGGCCTTTCTTACACCTTAGTGGCTGGGGATGGGATGGATGAGGTGGTCCTCTGCTTGTACCAAGAGGCCAGAGGCAGTTGCTGGGGTGGAAGCCTGGTCCCCATACTACAAACCAGAAAGCAAGTGCGGACACTTACATCCTGTCTCAGGCTCAGGGTCGAATCGAGATCCAAGGGCTGGATGGCCTTGGCCTTCTCTGCTCCAGGGCTTCCTTCCTGGGCCCCCACCTTGAGTTTTGCTCCAGTTCCCCGATGGAAGTCTGCACCTGGCAGCAGGGTCCTACCAGGCCCCTGAGGAGCCGCAAGAACAGAAGCAGAGCTGGGCAGGGGCGGACCAGTCACCATGGCTGCTGAATGCAAGGCGTTACCCTTGGTCTGAAGAAGGGACAGGGCAGGACTGTGGTCTGGGTGGAGCCTGTGTTCTTTTCTCTGCTGTGCCAGTTCCAGAGACATCTACTGTACCCTAGGGGCCAGAGGACTTTTACAGTCCCTGCCAGCCCAAGGGTGAGCAGCTTACAAGGATGGCGCCTGGCAAGGGGATGGGAGGTCGTGTTAGAAACTCATTACATAATGGAGTATGGTGGCTCCTATGTGTAATCCCAGTTACTCAGGAGGCAGAAATTGGGAGGATCAAAGTTTGAGGTCAGACTGGGCAACAAACAAATCTAGGCATGGCAAGGCATGTCTATGATCCCAGCTGTGCAGGAGGCAGAGGTAAGATCACAAAGGGCTGGGAGAGGGGCTCAAGTGGTAGAGCTCCTGCCTAACAGGTGCAAGGCCCTGAGTTCAAACCCCAGTGCCGCCGTAAAAGGAAAAACATAGCCGGGTACCAGTGGCTCATGCCTGTAATCCTCGATACTCAGGAGGCAGAGATCAAGAAGATTGTGGTTCAAAGCTAGCCCTGGGCTATAGTTCGAGAGACCCTATCTCAAAAACAACCATCACAAAAAAGGGCTGGCGGAGTGGCTCAAGTGGTAAAGCATCTGCCTAGCAAGCATGAGGCCCTGAGTTCAAACCCCAGTGCCGCCAAAAAAAAAAAAAGAGAGAGAGAGACTCATCCCATCAGTGTCTCTTTTCTCTCCTTGTCCTCCACTGAAAAGTAACCAGCAGCGGAAACCAGTGTCTGCACAGAGCAAATCTTACAAGTTCACAGACTGGGATGAGTCAGCCTGCTGGCCCTCTGTCCCCACCAGCTGGCCTGGCTCCTGCTTGATGTTTGGAGACGTGGAGAATGATGTTGGCGTGTGGGAACGTGAGGCAGTGAGGTGGAGAGCAGCACCACCCGCTCAGGGACCGCTGCTCCGGCTTTAATCCTGACTTACGGATTACAGGGCTTGCTGCCTGTGTGACCATAACAGTGCTTACAGATCTCAGTTTCCACACCTGTACAGAGGAGTTCATTCCTCCTGTGCAAGCCTGTGGAGGATTAGAGAGAGTGTGTGTCACGTTGTGCTCATTTCCAAGCCAACTGTAACAAAGACCACAGGCTGGGGCTGCCACCACATAAGAGCAAGCATGTTGAGGGTGGTGTGACCACAGACAACAGGCATTTGTGATGACAGTTCTGGGGGCTGGAAGGCTGAGCTCAAGGTGCGGCACATTTAGGTCATGCTCAGCCTTCTCTTGTTGGCTTGTGGATGCACTGCCCTGGATCTTCACGCAGCTCCCCTCTGTGCTTCTGTGTTGATCTCTTCTTGAGAGGGCACTGGGTCTTGTTATATCAGAGTCCACCTGACGATCCTACTTCAACTTAACTTTCTCTGCTAAGGTCGTGTCTCCAGAAGTTACTGAGGGGTTGGATATGTCAGCAGTGTATTTAATCCAAGCGGTGGAGGAGAGCTGATGGATTCCACTCCGTTGGTGTTTATTGACTATCTACTGTGTGTCGGGCTCTGTTTTAGGTGCTAGGGGTCATCAGCAGCCCAATGGGCCAAAACCCCTGTCCACAGGGAGCTGAGGTGGTTGTGTGGGAAACTAGAGGAAGCAAAGCTGATGGGATGTTAGGGGCGGCGAGTTTACACAGAGAACTAAATCCGCCTGAGGTGGAACCTCGGGAAGGGCCGACCAGAGCAGAGGGCCTCCTCTGCAGGATCCCCTGGCTGTTTAGGACACAGGCTCGGTCGGGGTAGGGGAAGATCAGGGAGAGCTGGGGTCGTGCCTGGGCTGTACTTCCCCGCTCACCACTCACAGGATGCCTCTCTTCTCTCTCTGCAGCGTGGAGGGCGAGGCCCCCAGCAGCGAGACTGGCACATCCCTGGACAGCCCCTCATCCTACCACCAGGGTCCCCTAGTGCCTGGTTCCAGCCTGAGCCCGGACCACTACGAGCACACGTCGGTGGGCGCCTACGGGCTGTACTCAGGGCAGCAGCAGCAGCGCACACGGAGGCCCAGGCTGCAGCATTCGACCTCCATCCTGCGCAAGCAGGCGGAGGAGGAAGCCATCAAGCGCTCGCGGTCTCTCTCTGAGAGCTATGAGCTCTCCTCGGACCTGCAGGACAAGCAGGTAGGCAGGCACTCCGGGGAGATGCACCGCGTGTGTCCTCTCGGATGGCCGAGCGCCTCTCAGCTGCCAGGCCCCTTGGTGGCGGGCAGGTTCCAGCCGTGGTGCCTGCTGAGGTGTGCAGAGGGCATAAGTTGGTCACCTGACATCTTTTCTGGGGACTTTTGCAGAGTTGCCTTCAAATGATGTCTTTGGTGTCCTGTCCCTCACGGTTGGGATCCGGGGACATGATGGTGGCCCAGCACCACAGGACACAGGTTTCGTGGCCAGACAGAGGTTCTTAGGGTGGAGGAGAGGCCAGGGGTGGGGGGGTGGCAAGCCCAGGGATGAGGAGGAGAGAGGGCCTTGGACAACGTAAGTAGTATGACCTCTGAAAAGGACATTGAACTCATCCCCAGCCATCAGGGTGAGGCTCATCGTGTCCACTCTGGTTTATGACACCAGGGTCTGGAGGGGAATTGCAGCACTCCCCTGGAGCCTCTGCACAGAAAGATGGGTGGCCCGGGCCTCCTGTGGGGTGCCTAGGGGCAGAGCAGGCTCTCCTAAAGCAGTGCACCGTTAAGACTCCTAATAGTGAATAGGCTGCCAGCGAGTGGCCGCCCCAGCAGTCTCCAGCTTCAGGACAGCCAGGCTGTCAGGCAGCACCCTGCAGCCCGCAGGGACAGGCAGACTCCCCCTGCCTGACTCCCCACAGCTGCACCCTCACTAGGACCCTCCTGACAGCCTTAAGACACCACGCCTTCCTTCTGCCTACACCCACCCTGCAGCCTGGCCTGCCTGTCAGCGCCCCATCTCCAGGCTGTTCTTAAAGGAACCAAGATCTGGGCTGGTGCAGCCCCTGACGTCCTCAGGACACTGGGTTGCCTGCAGGGTTGGTCCCCTCCCTGGCAGAGGCCCCCCTGCAGCCCTTCCTCACCCTGCTCTGCAACCTGGGATGTCCCTCTCTCCCTCAGCTCTGCACATTCTCCATCTCTTTCCTGAGTTGGGACTGACAAGGGGCCAACACGTAGCCAGAGCCTGGTAGCAAATAGCCACCCCCCTGCCCCCACCACCTCCCTGCACCTGTGGCCCTTGGCCCCACGGCCAGGCCAGCAGCAGGCAGAAGCAACCACTGTTGAGTTTGTCATTTCTGCCCAGATAGAGTGGCTCACAGCATTTATCATCAAAGACGTGTGCGGGGGCCAGAAGGTCCAGGCTTCACAGAGGCCTGTGGGGTAACCAGACTCCGAGTAGCAGCCTCCCATGCCACAGTTGCTCACTCTCATTCCATGCCTCTTAGCTGAGGGCCAGCCAGTGCCCGACACTGTGCTGTGTGCTGGGAAGGGGACAGCGTAGGAGACAAGGCTTATAAGCTGACTCTGTGGTACAGGGGACAGCCCAGGAGCAGGTCTGCAATTGAGAGGCAGTTTAACTCTGGGAAGTGATATGCTGTATGGATTAGAGAACTAGGAGAAGTAGTAGAGTGGCTCTTGATGGTGGCAGCTCTGGATAAGGGTAGGCATTCAGGGAAGAGGTGTCAGCAGGTGCGAAGGCCCTGGGATGAGAATGAGCTTGGTGTTGTGAGAGATGGAAAGGATAGCAAGGAAGAGGTGGCACAGAGGCAAGAGAGGAGTTGACATTCATAGCCACATGGCATGCCATACTCCACTGAGCTTCTCAGCAGGCAAGGCAAAGTATTAATAGGGCAGATTAGATGGGAATTGTGAGAAGAAAGCAGGGTACCTATTCCATGAAGAGTTAAAGTGTAGGTGACAGAGTCCCATCAGTGGAAGAAGCTGGATATTCTCCTAACCCCTGGTCTCATCTGATCATTTTCTGTTCCTGAGAGTAGGAGGCCCAGATGAGTCATTGAAAGGTTGAAAGGTGACAGTTTTGTTTTGTGGAAGGGCAGACCCTTTCCTTGTGCACACAGTTCAGAGTGTCCCTTGGGTAAGTAAGGGCCTGTTGGAAAGGCCAGACACAGGGTTACCTCCTGCCACTGGCAGAGGCCTGGGCCAGGTGCTTCCCACCCCTCAGAGCTCAGAAGTTGCAGGAAGTGTTGGTGGGAGGGTGTATGGTCCCTGGTACATCCTGTAAGTGAGCAGGTGTTCATCACATTTCCTGTTAGTCCCAGTGGGGTTGTAGACAGGGCCTCATGCTGGTTCTGGCCTAAAAAGCAGGGTGACCATGGTATTTGGGAGACAAGTTATAGCCGGCCTGGCTCAGTGTATGCCTGCTTCGGAGGGACAGGGAGGGGCTTTGATGGCTCAACACAGAGCCTGCCTTTGCTTTCACGCACATGCACTCACATGCACACACAGATTTGGGCAGGACTCAGAAAGCAGGTTGGTTACCTGGTCCTCGAGGTCCAGGGACAGTGGGAGAGGAGACCTGGAGCGAGCACTTGGCCTGAGCTGGTGGCCTTGGTGCATATGCCACTAGCAGAAGGGCCTGGCCCCAAGCCATCATGTTCTCTAGCAGAAGACAGGTTTCCCAGACGAAGGGTTCTCATCCTGGAGGAGCTCTGAATCCCGCTCCCATAGACAAGGCTTTCAGAGACTGCAAAGCAAGAGAACAAGCAGAACCTCCTTGGCTGCCCCTGGATCCGGCTGGGGTGAGAGTCATTTTGATCCCCTTCCTCCTGCAGGACTCAAGACAGCTGGCACACTTTGTGTTTTAAAAACTCTCCAAGCCTATCTCATGGCCCCCTAAAGATGGTATGGCCCTGAAGTCTGTACCTGTTGGCCCTCACTTAGGGACACTGGTGTACAGAAATGGGAAGGCCCCTGCTCAGGCCATGCAGCAGGAAAGCTGAGTATCCATGGGTGTACAGAATCATCCCCTGACTCAGTCCACAGTTGCTCAGCATCTGTTTAGCTTAGACTTTTCAGTCTTTGTGTAGCTATCCCTGTGGATGCTCTATACCTCAGGGCAAAGACTGTGTGTCTCCCTTTTGTACCGCCAGGTTTGATGTGGTACCCTGCTGCAATTGGCAGGTGGACCAGACAGGCAGGGTGCAGGGTTTTGCCTGGCTCCTGAGGATGAGCCCTCTCTTGGCCTCATGTCAGATGCTTGTTCTGCCCCAATATCCAGAGAAGCCTGGCTTGCGGTGCTGGTTCCACATCTTAGCTTTTCTTGATTGGCCTTGGCTACAGGCTCGTGTGTCCTTCTCAGTCAAGAGCCTGGCATGGGAACAGTTCTGGGGACTGTCTTTGGTCAGGGTGGGTCGTGTGGGACTCAGGACTTCAGGAGGCCCACCTGTCACACTGGAGAGACACTAGGCTAGGACATCCGAGTTCACCCAGCACCTCCCTGCTTGCAGCCCTGAGAATACCAGCTGTGTGCCTGTCTGAACTCACAGAGATGGGCCATCCAGAACTGTGGGTCCAGAGAGGCAGAGGCAGCTCTGCAGCCTGCATGCCACTGGATGACCACTAGATGACCACTGGATCTCCTCCCTGGCCCAGGGATGCGGCTAAGGGTCTTCCAACCCACTGCCCCTGGGCTTGGCCTGTGCTGAGCATCCTACATCCTTGTCCCCAAGGGCTTGGCAGAGTCCCAGGAGATAGGTCCCAGTGCCGCTCCATCTTATAGACAAGGAAAGTGAGGAACTCCACTGTTTCAAGGTAAGGGGGCAGAGCCAAGATTGAACCAGTCACCCTGCCTTGACCCCTGTGGTCAGTGTTCAGCCCTCAGGTCCACCTCAGGATGGACTGGCTTCACCTTCCCAGTGTCTGCAGATGTACTTCCAGTAAACTGCTGCCACAGGTGTGCCAGAGCAGAGACTGACCAGAGACATCTGGGAAGCTCAGCACACTGTGCCCACCAGCTTTTAAAGGCCCTGTGAAGTCCCCTATGGGACTTTAACACAGTGTTCCTCCATCTTATTGGACCTTGGAACCCATATTTTACATATGCTCCCAGCAGCCCCAGCTGCTGTTCACCCCAGGTTATTCCCCTTCGCTGTTCTCTGTTGGAAGAGGGTAGGTATCACCAGGCCAGCACACGGAGCTGTCCTCATTCTCCTCTCCTCCCTCTCCTTCCCCCGCCAGGTGGAAATGCTAGAACGCAAGTATGGGGGGCGCCTCGTGACCCGCCATGCAGCCCGCACCATCCAGACAGCGTTCCGCCAGTACCAGATGAACAAGAACTTTGAGCGTCTGCGCAGCTCCATGTCGGAGAACCGCATGTCACGCCGGATCGTGCTGTCCAACATGAGGATGCAGTTCTCCTTCGAGGGGCCCGAGAAGGTGCACAGCTCCTACTTCGAGGGCAAGCAGGTCTCAGTGACCAACGATGGCGCCCAGCTGGGGACCCTGGTGCCCTCCGAGTGTGACAACCTTGGGGAGCCAGCCCTTAAATCTCCAGCCCCCTCCAGCGACTTCGCAGATGCTATCACAGAGCTGGAGGACGCCTTCTCCCGGCAAGTGAAGTCACTTGCAGAGTCCATTGATGACGCCCTCAACTGCCGTAGCCTACATGCCGAGGAGGTGCCAGCCTCAGACACAGCACGGGCCCGGGACACCGAGCCCAAGCCACCCCTGCACAGCGTGGACCACCACAAGCTGGACGAGATGACAGCCTCGTACAGCGATGTTACCCTGTACATCGATGAGGAAGAGCTGTCGCCACCTCTGCCCCTCTCACAGGCCGGGGACCGGCCTTCTAGCACTGAGTCGGACCTGCGACTGCGAGCAGGGGCCACAGCCCAGGACTACTGGGCTCTGGCCCACAAGGATGACAAGGCTGACACGGACACAAGTTGCCGAAGCACACCGTCGCTGGAGCGGCAGGAGCCTCGGCTACGGGTGGAGCACCTGCCCCTGCTCACCATTGAGCCACCTAGTGACAGCTCCGTGGACCTCAGTGACCGCTCTGACCGCGGCTCACTCAAAAGGCAGAGCGCCTATGAGCGAGGCCTCGGCGGGCAGCAGGGCAGCCCCAAGCACGGCACCCACAGCGGCCCCCCTAAGGGCCTGCCCAGGGAGGAGCCTGAGTTGCGGCCCCGGCCCCCCAGACCCCTTGAGAGCCACCTGGCCATCAATGGCTCTGCCAATCGGCAGAGCAAGTCTGAGTCGGACTACTCAGATGGGGACAACGACAGCATCAACAGCACATCCAACTCCAATGACACCATCAACTGCAGCTCCGAGTCCTCGTCCCGGGACAGCCTGCGTGAGCAGACGCTCAGCAAACAGACGTACCACAAGGAGACCCGCAACAGCTGGGACTCACCCGCCTTCAGCAATGACGTTATCCGCAAGAGGCATTACCGCATTGGCCTGAACCTCTTCAACAAGTGAGTTCCCCAGGTGGGCGGGCAGGCGGCCCTGCTGGAGGCAGACTCGGGAAGAGGACCCAGGCAGGTGGACAGCTGTCACACAGTTGGGCCCGAGCAGGCAGAGCAAGCAGAGGGTACACCCATCAGTTGTTGTACAAACCAAGGCTGAGGTTCAGACAGGGTGGGACACTGCGCTGTGTGTGTGGTCAGGGGAGCTTCAGGGCCTGGGAGCGGAGACACTGCTCCTTCCAAGGCCACTGTCGATGCTCACACGCCAAAAGGGCAGAATGGAGGCTGTTCTGTGGTAAAGCTAGAGAAGGGGGCGTCAGTTCCATGAGCCCAGAGTCCTGGCCATCATGCCCACCTGTGTTGTCCCCAAGGCAAAAAGGTACATGAGCCGTGCCAAGCCAAGCCTCAGCTCTTGGGCTCCACACTCGTGCAGAGCACAAGGGCCTTCGATTAAGCAAATGGCAGGCCTGTGCCTGGGTCTGTAGGAGACTTGGGCGGGCTCAGGATGGACCCACTGGAGTACAAGTCTCAGGAGCTCCAGAAGCAGAGGCAGATTGGCCCTGGGCAGTGTCTGGGGTTGCTATGGGAACTGACTAGCAGTCAACTGACTGCTCCCCAGGGGTTAAGGAAGGGTGCTGCCAGGCGGCCCTGAGAGCAGATCCAAGACGGGGCCCGTGGGTATTTAAAGCAAGCTATTCTTAGCAGAGCCGAAAATAGCAAGGGAAGGGCAAGGGCCGAGCACTCCCTCGGTGGGGGCCTTGGCAGGCTCTCGTTAAACCTGAGATTTCACATCATTTCCATCCCCAGGGCCTCTGGGCTTTAGGGTCATCAGACGCCAGCCTGGCGGACTCCCTCAGGGACTGTGGCCATGGAGCACATGACCAGCCTGCTTGGTGGTTACTGACTCACATCCTGGGAGCTTCCCAGAAGGGCCACACGAGGGTGGTGTGACACAGTGGGCCTTGACAATGCCTGGGCTGCACTTCCTGCTGCTTCCCTTCCACTGGGGGAGACATGGGGTGCTTTTGAGTGTCACTGGTGTAGACAGTGCTGGGCGGGGATGGCAGAGGCCTGGCCTTGGGCAGGATGGGAATGGAGGCAGCTGGGGGGTGTGGGTTAGAGCTGCTTGTCCAGCTAGGAACTAAGAGTCTTGGACCCCTCACATCTGCAAGAGGTGAGCTCCTGTGACACACACACACCCCTGCCCGTGGCCTGCTACACATAGGGCCCATCACTACACAAAGCACATAGGAGCAGCATGCCGGAGGAGGGGAGTGTTCTGTGAGTCCATCCTGTGTCCCAAGTCAGCCGCTGCGGTTCCTGGGCACTGCCCAGCTCCAGGGCCACCTCTTAACTCAGGCCTCTGTGCTCTGGGGAAGGCAGGGATAACTGGGGTCCAATGGAATGGACGGGTGGAGGCCAGTAGTGGAGTGCAGGAAGCCAGGAAAAGCTGCCTCCCTTGTCCTGCAGATTCTGGCCTCTGGAGACTCTCTTTCTGGCTCCCGTACTTTTTCACCAGCACATTCTGCAGATAGCCAAGGCTTTATGGCTCAGCAAAGTCTTGTGTGACTCTTGAAGTCTCTCCCTACAGATCTTTTGGGTTGTACATGCTGTGACCTCTCAGGAGCAGCCAGTGGCCGTGGTTAAGCACACAGCTCCAGGCCAGGCGGCCTAGCCTCAAATCCGGCTCTCTGTGTGACCTTGGGCAGCATAGCCTGCTCTACAGTGGCCACATTTGTGACACAGGGTTGATGTTGGTGGTCCATGGGTTGTGTGCACGAAGGGCTGGTGTGTGTGAAGTGCTGGAGCACCAGGGAAGCCAGAGATGTCTTCTGCTGTCATTTCATCCTGGCTGTGTCATCGAGGCTGGGACTGGATGACTTTGACTTAGATGACATCAGTGAGGTTTGCCGTTGGAGGTCTTCTCGTTCCTCTCTGCCCTGCCCCGGGTTACTTTGTCCTCCCCCTGTCCCCGCCATGGGGACATGAACATACCTATCTGCACACCTTCCTTCACTCAGCACACACTGGTGGGCGCCTGCTACCTGCCAGGCACTGCTGCAGGGGCCGTGCACACCAGCAAACAATAAAGATCTTCCAGAAGCTCCACGCTAATAGCTAGAGGGTCTTTTGGTTTTTCTGCTGACATCAGATTTTATTAAGTTGTTTATTTGCAGTGCTGGGGATGGAACCCTGGGGCATTGTCACACATGCTAGGCAAGCACTTTGGCACTGAGCCGCATCCCAGCCCTAACATCAGATTTAACTGCTTCTCTTTTATATCTTATTAAGATAAGTCCTCCTCCTTTGTTGTTTTTAAAAATTGTGCTCTTTCACCTGAATTTTAGAATCAGCAACTTGCAATTCCTAAAAAATCCCAGTGAACACTGGAGTTGCCTCTAGGTCAGAGGTGAACTTGAAGAAACTTGTCCCTTTTACCCTGCTAGGGACAGGACCAGGAGGCCCTACCACAGGCTACTACTTCAGTCAGTTAAAATAACTCAGTCCCCCGGGGCACTGGCCACATTTTAGGGCTCCCTGGCACATGTGGGAGCAGCAACCATGATGATGGCAGGTTTCAGACAATCCTGTCACTGCAGAGCTCTGTGACCCAGAGTTCTGTGAGGGCAGGACCTGTGGCGAGTGTGGTCCTCAGAGTCTAGATGATGTTCACAGACCTTCCCACTGGCAGGCCCCTGCATCTTGACTGTGTCCCTGGCTGCAGATACGTGCCTGCCACCAAGTCTCCCTGGAGCCCTCCTGGAGCCCAAAGCTGCCTAGTGGGTCAAGGGAGTGTTTGTGCCTTGGTGGGCTGGGCAGCAGTGTGGCCTTGCTGTCCACACCTAGAAAATGGGTGCAGGGACCCTGCCCCTTGGGGCTTGGACAGGATTCGATACAAAAGAGCCAACATTCCAGCCTAGAGGAGGTCCTGGAGCTGCAAGTCAGGGCTCTGATGGCCCTGTGCTGTCGTGCTGCCACAGTCCTGGTTCCTTCAGTGCCCTGTGCCTTACTCCCCAGCCCTGTACCATCACTGCCTGTGGCTCTCTAGTCCCCTTCTCCCACCCTCTCCTTCCCTCCCAGGCTCCCACCTCTGCCTGTACCCCTTTTCTACCCTATATCCAGGGCAGCTGACTTCCTGCCCCTTCTCATCAGGGAGCAACGCCTGCAGGCCCTCGGGGTCTGTGGACAGTCTTATCATGCACAGACAGTGGGACAGTGGGACAGTGGGAGAGCCAGCAGACAGGAAACAAAGCAGGAACCCTGAGCCAAGGGGGCTGGCAGCAGGAGCGGACATGACAAGCCCTGCTCTCTTCAGGTTCTAGGAAGTGCATGTCGCTTTCGTCCAGCCCCACTCTACAAAAGGGGTACTGAGGCCCTGACGGGGTCACTTGTCCACAGTCACATGGCTGCTAGGTGACAAGTCTAGTCTTCAGTCAGTTCCCCAGCTCCTGAACACACCCCCTTACAACTCACAGTGCAGAAACGCCACTACGAGTGGTATCTGAGCTTCTCCCCTCCTCACTGGGTGACAGGTCTGTGAACCAAGTCCAAAAGGCAGAGCTGCCTCATGTGTAGAAGGTATGGCCTGGGAACAGTGGCCCTGGGGCTACTGCAGTATAGGCCCCTGGGGTGAGCACCAGCAGGGACCTCACTCGGTTTGTCACCTCCTTCCCTAAGGAGGGCGTGGAAGACCTACCCCACTATGTCCTGCCCTGTACCCTATACCCCCCACTATCTGTGCCTGTCTCAGCCCTCATTCTCTGGCATGGGCCCAGGTACACTTGTCACAGTAGGCCAGGCGTTCCCACCTCACAAAGAGTGTCCTCAGCCGCTGGACTGCCTTGTGATTAAATGGCACCTCAGAAGAGTGCAGTGCCTCAACTCTGGAGCAGGGAAGCAGGGCCTCGGTGACCACCTGATGTGCAGTGTGGCAAGACCAGCTGGGACTAGACACTGTTCCTGGGGCCACCAAGGCCCTCTGTCTCAGGATCCTACGTTCAGAGGTAGCCCTGCTTGAAGCCAGACTTCCCTCCACTCAGTGCCCAGCTCCTAGGGCTTTCTTGCCCACTGGGGCCACCACAGGAGCAAGGCAGAGAGCCACGCAGGGAGGCTGCTGCACACTGCTATTTTCTTCTGACACCCAGGGTTCTCCCCTCTCCACCCGCCAGGAAATCTGGGCCCAGGCTGGTCCTGCCCTTCGCAGGAGGCCTCACAGCTGGGGCTGGGCTTCTGCTGCCTGCTCCTGTCCTTGTCATTAATAAAAATAGCAGTGATGAGACCCATCCTGTGTGTCAAGTGCCAGGCAACTGGGTAACACTTCCTGTGTGTCATCTCATCCATTGCCCGTTGGCAGTCCTTGAAGTGGAAGTGGAGGGAGCCCAACCTGAGAGAAGCCGAGGCTGGAGGTCCAGGCCACAGGACGCAGCTGCACGTGCGTAGAGCACTCTTTCCATGGCTTGTGGAGCTGATGTGTTTTGTTCTTCTTTCTTGCGGTACTGGGGTTTAACTCAAGGACTTGAGCTTACTAGACAGGTGCTCTACCGCTCGAGCCGTGCTCCCAGTCCTGGAGCTGATGGTTTAACAGGAAGGCACTTCAAGGAACTTAGAGCTGGGTATTTGAAGGTTGAGGTCCCATCTCCCTAGACAAGGGCCACCTGGCTTGGGGCCCGTGTGGCTTCAGTACCCTGCGTCCCTAGCACTGTCTTGGGCCTGGGGTGGCTGTGCTGAGCCCCTAGAAAGGAAGACTGCCCAGAGAGGGCCCACAGGGCCTGCCAGCTACACCGGGAGGGTGAGTCTTGTCCCTGTGTCTGATGTAAGTGGGACGAAGACCCCAGAAGCCACATCGTGCTTGGGACCCCACAGTCAGAAAGCAGTGTGTGGAAACTGGAGCTAATAGAGCAGGGAGAGGGGGAGCTATGGTCTGGAAGTTGGCCCCACCCTGCAGGACCCAGCAGGACTGCAGCCTAGTGTGAAAGGCACTTCCAAGTGTGTGGGGTCTCTTCTCAGTCCTACAGCTAGTGCTGTAGGTACCCACGGGTACCAGGTGGGCTCAGCCTTCTGAGCACAGAGACCTCAGGCTCTAGAGGGCTACAGACACTGTGTGGCCAGTGTTATCAGGCCTCCACTGCAGGGTGCAGGACCCAGTCATACTGCTTTAACCCGAGAGGTTTATCGCTCACAGACCTGCAAAGCACATAGCGTCTTCTCCAGTGTCCACCCTGTCCTCAGGGCAGGAGGACCACTGGCGGTCCCTGAGCTCACAGTCAACCTCAGGGTGGCCCCAGCAGGAGGTGGTGCTCTGACAGACCTAGAGCTGGGGTTGAGGTCAGCTGCAGGGTGATGGGGACAGAGTTCCAGGGTGGGGTGGGAAACCTGAAGTCCCAACACTGGGTACTAAGCAGGGAGGGGCTAGCAGTTGGCCACACCCCTTCTCTCAGGCACCTCCCACCACTGAAAATTCCTGGACAGACCCTGGTTGGCCCCACAGAGTCCCCCTGGGCAAAGAGCATGGCGAGAACCCAGCACTGCACTCCAGCCAGTGCATGCTCCCTAAGCACACATCACAGCCTCCTTGCTCTTACCAGAGCCTTCCATAGCTCATTGCCATCAAGCCCTCACCACCACATAACGAGCGATACAGGGAGAGAGGTGACTTGTTCCCATCACACTTGAGTGTGAATCAGCATCAGACGTCAAGAAAAGCTGGCTCAGCCAGACCTGAAAGTAGTCAGCAGGGACAGAGCTGTGGGCCACTGAAACTGACTACCTGCCTGAGCATTTCAGAGACCAGGGACAGAACACAGGAGCAGACTGGGTGTGGATGGCAAAAGTGTGGCAGTCAGACCTTCCTGATTTTGGGACTTTACTACGTACAATTAGGAAGAGAGAGAAACTGGGGTGTGCTCCAACAGAGTGGGAGGGTGATGGGACAGGGCTGATTTCCAGCTGTGGCAATGGGGAGGGGGTCACTGCTCAGCAGGAAGCCATTCAGAAACTTTTGACCGTCTACTTTTCCATGCACACAGTGCCTGCACCTCCTGTCCTCACAATTGCGTGGTCAGCTCCGGGTCCCTCTCACACTGGGCTCAGACTTCCAGCTGCAGCTATCCTAAACTCATGCCTCAGCACCGCCAACACACACACACACACACACAGCTGATGTCGTCTTCTCTACAGGGTCCCTAGTAGGCTCCCTGACCCCTGTCCTTACAGCAGCCAAAGCGAGCTTCTTCCACCATCCCCCACAGCCCTGTTCAGAGAATGTCAGGCTGCTGGTACCAGTCTCACTGTGGCCTGCATAGCATGGCATGGTCAGGGATGTCCATCCACTGCCCTCCTCCCCCCACTGCAGGTCCCTGATCTTAGCCATCCTAGGACAGCCTCTGTGGCCCTCTGTCCTGAAAACGCCTGCCCGTCACCTCAGAGCTCTACCTAGAGAGTCTCTGTACCTTGGCCCTGCTCTACCTGCCTCTGTTGCTTAGTCCCCTTGCCTTTCAAGGTTCCAGCTGACCAGTGAGCCAGCTCTGCTCATTGCTGTTGTCCCTAGTGCTCTGTGCCTGTCACATAGTTAACATCTGGCACCTTCATCCCTGAGCCCTGCGTCCAGCCTCATGTCCTATAGACACTACCATCCCCACCCCAAAATCCCACCGGTAGAGCTCTGAGTACAGGGCAGAGGGCCTGTCCTAGAGGTGCTAATGCTACAGATTCTGTGTGTGATGGGATGATGGGGACAAAGAAGTGACAGTGGCCATCTCCCAGAGGAGCAGATGGGAGCAGGGCCTGGCTGGATTGGACCAGGAACCATGTCAGTGACCTTGAGAGCCTGGCAAGCTTGGATGGGTAACAGAGGGCCCCTGTGGTAGTCCTAGAACTCTGGAGCAGATGTTCAGTTGCCACCTTTGTGCCAGGATCCAACTGACTGGTGGCTGCTGTCTGCCAATCACCTGGGGACAAGATTCAGGTGTGTGGCCATCACAGGATGGCTGCAGGAACCAACCAGGTCTCCTGCAGCCAGAGGCTCTTGGAAGGGCAGTGTCTGTGGGTGCTGCTTTCAGCCAGGAACTGCACAGGCCATGGGGCAAGTGGACACACTAGCCTTCACCTCCATCACCTACCCAGAGGACAGAGCTCAGGCCTGAGCCTGCTGGGACAAGGAGTGTACCTAGCCCCCAATTTGATGGCATGAGTGCTGGATGTGCTTCCAGGCAGGGCTAAACATGCTGGACCCTCCAGACCCCAGGAGAAGCATTTTGTGCTGGTTAGGGGCACCCAACTGCCTTATGGTTTTCAGAGACTCAGGGAGGAAGTCCCTCCTCAGAGGGACAGAGCCAGTCTGGCCTGATGCCCCAACATGGCCCTAGGAGCTTCCAGAAGAGGATACATGTCCTCTGAGAGTCACCTGTATAACCACTGAAGCCCTCTCAGGCCACTCTGTCTTCCGTGACTACTGGGACCTCCATGCCAGGCCACCACAGGAGTCAGAGGTTGAGGGCATGAAAGGGCCTGCCTGGCTCAGGTGACCACAGTGCCACAGACAGGCAAAGCCTACTCCTGGTGATGGCATGTGTGTCAGGGTCAAGGTGCTGCCCCTGTGGCCCAGTTGGACCTGGCATCACTCTGCACACAGCGGGCCAGGTGCAGAGAAGATGTGCTCTGGCTCCATGCCAGGGCCCAATAATTCAGGACATGTTCATCCCTGCTGGGGCTAGCTCTGTATGTACCTTGGGCACCAGGAGGTCCTGGCTGGCAAGGAGATCTGGGACCTAGAGGACACATGGCCATGCAGAACCAGCCCAGCCACCTTCACAAGGCCCCCCTGGAATTCCCTGGCAGGCTAGTGCCAGGGAACCCTGGTCTCCCTGTGTCTCCATCACCTCTCCTGCAGAGTGGGGCTCAGCCCATGAAGCTTAGTGGTGGTAAGTGTGTCCTCACAGGCCAGTGGTACTGGCCCAGTCATCCTTAGGGCAGTGGGTGTCCCAACTGGGACAGGCTACGAGCACTGCAGGTGTAGCAAGTGCTGAGCTGTAGGAGTGGGGCCTCTGGAGGGGCTGGAAATAGTGCCCCTTACCAGCTGTGACAGTCATTGTCATTTTTTGCCCATCAAGAGCTTGCACACCAAGGGGAGCAGGGAGGTGGGTCAAGCAGGGACCATATTTCTGTGGGATTGGTGGGGGAGCAGGGCTGGGTGGCCCAAGAGGGTTTATAAGCAGGGCCAGGAAGGCAGCCACCAAAGTGTCCCCAGGGCTGGCCCAGCTCTGGTTTGTTTTTGGCACACTTTCCAGGTGAAGGTTTTGACCCAGGTCCTCCCACATTTGGGACTTGGAGCCAAACAGGATAGGGTTCCTAGAGTCTCCAGATATCATCCTGGACTCTGGGGTCTCCAGTCCTGCCTGCAGAGGAGGAGGGACAGGGATGAGGGCAGGGGCTGGTGCCGGTGAGTGGGGCAAGGAGGGTGTGGACTGCCCACTGAGGCCTCTCCTTGGCCCCAGGGACCAGGCAGTCAGAGCTGCCCATGCTTCTCTTTCCCCCAGAAAGCCTGAGAAAGGCGTCCAGTACCTCATCGAGCGTGGCTTTGTGCCTGACACGCCAGTGGGGGTGGCCCACTTCCTGCTGCAGCGCAAGGGCCTCAGCCGCCAGATGATCGGCGAGTTCCTGGGCAACCGGCAGAAGCAGTTCAACCGTGATGTGCTCGAGTGAGTCCCTGCCACCTCCATGCTCCCTTATACACAGCGCCAGGCACACGTATGGCTACCTTCGTGACCCTGGGAGATGGGGTCCAGGACCCCCTGTGGATACTGAAGTCCCCAGGTGCTCAGGTCCCTCACTGTGGCCTCATGTGTGCACAGAATCTACTCGCGCCTCCTGTGTGCTGTAAATTATCTCCAGTGTCACACGTCATGCCTAATACAGCATTAGTGCCGTGTACGTGGTCAGTATACCGCAGTTTAGGAAGTGTGACTGAAAGACAGTCTACATGTTGAGTATGGACTACGAGTTTTATTTTCCAAATATTTTGGATCCAAGGTTGGTTGGATCTGAAGTTGTGGAACCCAAGGACACAGAAAGCTGTCTGTACCGAATCCTCCATCTTCTCTTCCACACGTGCACGCACACACATGCAGGTGCCCCACACCACACCTCCACACCCTGCCAGGCATACTTGGGCACCTGCCCTTGTGTCTCACACTGACCCCACCATCCTCTTCCCTCCCTTTGACACCCTCAGTGCCTTGTCCCCTACAGCATGGTTGATCCAACCAAGCACCAAGCAGTCACTACCTTCTGGTGACCCACATTCGTACACCCTTGGGTGGCAGGGCTGGCAAAAGCCTGCAGCTGGAGATCTAGGCCATCCCTGGCTGCCACCATCCATCTGGCATGGGCCAGTGACCCTGCCTATGCCAGAGTCATGACCCCACCTCCCTGGGTGGGCAGCTAGGCCCAGCTCTGCCCCTACCTTGTCCTCCCGGTTCCACACCCCCAGAAGCCCCAAGAGCTGACGCGATACTGCAGGCCACTCAGAACCTTGCAGAGAGTGGGCTCCTGGCTCCTTTCTGAAGCATTACTTCCTGTTTTCAGAAGTCTTGCCTAGTTTCCCCACATTTCCCCATCTCTCCTCCACACTGTCCTGAGCAGAGGGGCTCCCAGGCAATCCCTCCGCCTTTAGAGCAGTCACCTTTTGTTAGGCCTTGCTTGCAGGAAGGATGTGGGCTCAGTCCAGATGGCTGCCCACACTCCCTGTTGGGGACTGGGAACCCTCAGCCCTGTGTTTGAGGAGGTTTGGACCTAGTAGGAACTCTCTGAGAGGCAGAGCCCAAGCCAGTAGGCCAAGGAGAGAAGTCAAAGCAGGCGAAGAGCTAACCTGACCATCCAGTGCCAACACAGTCCTTTTCCACATGCCCAGCCTCTGCGGAGGAGAGGATGGGGCAGGCATCCTGGAGGTGTGGTCTCGGCTCAGCAAGCCACCCCTGGCATCTCTGGGAGTTACCCTCCCTGTGTTCCACAGAACACCAAGGCTGAGCAGGGGAAGGACTGGGCTCCACATGCCCATGCAGTCACACCCTACACGTACACTCAGACACAGGACGTCGAGTGACGGCGTGGCAGGTCCCCAGCATGACAGGGCCTGCCGTGACCAAACGCGTAGTTTGGGTGTGTTTCTGCCTGCGTGCTCTGCGTGCTCCTTCACTGGAGAACCTGCCCCTGGCCGGTGTGGTTATTGCCAACTCCCCTCTTTAAACTTGGCGGGAGAGCCTGGTGCGGGTATGCAGACTCATTCCTGCTGACATGGTGACAGTGCAGTCAGGCTTTGTGTATAGCAGCCCTCGCTGCCTGCCCCCTCCCAGGCTCCTGGTCACAGGAAATCCGTGCATTGTTCTCCTCCCCTCAGAAAATAGCAGTGGCCTGAGGAAGTAACGAGGTTCCCAGCCACCCCCAGGGGCCTCACCCTTGCCTACCCAGCCAGGCTTGCCTACACGCTCCTACTCTCCTGCCCACAGCTACAACCACCCAGGCTGTGGCCCTAGATCAGCCCAGCACAAGGCCAGCCCTGGGAGTGGGGACTGCACAGTGGGTGACGAGGACTTGACAGCCCACTGTGGTGAGAGCAGCTGCAGCTATGGTTGGAGGTGAGGGGGAGGCTGAGCTGTCTGGAAATGCCTCCTCCAGGAGGTTCTGCTACACCCCACTTCCCAGCTCAGGGCTTACATGGGAGGCATTCAAAGTCGATGCTGGGAGGGGCTGTGAGTAGACAGTGGCCAATCAAAAACTGTGTACTGCCGCTCCACGTGCTCAGTCCCCAAGATGCCCCTGCCAAACCTAGCCTGCCACATCTACCCTCCACGTGAGAGCACAGTCACTGCCCTAGAATTGGGGTCTTGGGCCCATGTCCTCGTCAGGCCCCTCTTCCTTGCAGAAGGCAAAGGACCCCCAGCAGAACTGTCCTGTGGGCCCGAACAATGTAGAAACCACACATGTGACACAGCTGTCTCCCATCATTTCGGGGTTCATGAACTCCCCCAAAGCCAGGAGCTTTTTGTCAGATTCTAAAGTGCTGTTTGCTGACCATGGTGGAGAGCCAAGCATGGACCCTTCCTGCCCACAGGCAGCCGTCCCCATGGGTCCCTGCTCAGAGATACTAGCCCTCTGTGCTTCCACTCCCGAGGCTCAGGCTCTTGTCACCTGGTGGGAAGGCAGGGGCTGGGTGAATCACTGCTCACAGGCCAACTGTCTCTGTTCCAGCTGTGTGGTGGACGAGATGGACTTTTCTGCCATGGAGCTGGACGAGGCCCTCAGGAAATTTCAGGCACACATCCGAGTCCAGGGGGAAGCCCAGAAGGTGGAGCGGCTCATCGAGGCTTTCAGGTTGGGCCTGTGGAGGTGGCGGGCTGTGCGTGGGTCATTCTGTCACCTCTGGGAATGCTGTTCAGCAGTGACCAGTGGTCTCCTGTGCATGGGCTCTGTGCTGGTCCCCTTGTTCTGTGTAGTCCTGGGGGATATGGAGGAGATGGAACTCGGTATTCTGACTTTGCAGATGAGGAAACTGAACCCAAGACACGTGGCTTCAGTCCTCACTAGCTGTCCACTCTAGTCACTGGCTTGGTCAGCCACTGATTCCACCACGACCCCAGCTGGCTTTCACCTTCTCTGTGCCTCACTTTCTTGCCTGTGAAGTGAGGATAGCAACAGCACATACCTTACAAAGGAGTGGAAGGAAAAATTGGCTTAGGGCTCAGGGATCCACTCAGCCCAGTGCTTGGCACAGCAGTGTGACCACAACCCAGGTCAGCTGTGACTACGCAGTCCCCAGGACTACTGCTCACGTGCTGTGGGGGCGTCTGTGCTTAGAGCTGGGCGTGGAAGATGGCGACTGGCCCACTGGGTCAGCACCAGTGGTGGGGTCAACAGGAGTGAGGACACCCTAGGGCCCTAGGTGGGGAGACGTTCACCCACTTCCCTCCAAGGCACCTTCCTGGAGGAGGCAGCACTAGGCGGGGCCTGATGAGGGAGTCTGAATGGCAGCCCCTGCTGCGGTGAGCCTCTGTCAGTGAGCTCTGCCCCTGGGGTGACGTGGTGCAGCCAGCGGTGGGAGCAGTGGGATGAACACGGTCAGGGTAGGGGAGAGGGCCATGGGTCACTGTCACAATAAGAATGCCACAGCTGAATTGAGTCAGAAGCACATTCCCCCTCACCTCTTCCCTCAATGTCCCAGATAGCAGACCACCCCCACCGGACATCCCCACTCCAGGCAGGGGACTGAGGCCCAGCCTTGCGGGTGTCCACCTCAGTCGGTTCACGTCGGTTCACATCCCGTTGGTGAACTCTGTCCCAGATCTGCTTCTTCTGGGGAGCTGGGACATGTGGGCACCCACTGGGCAGCAGCATGCCTCTCTGGAATGAGGGTGGGAGGTGACCACAAGCAGGGTGGAAAGGAGCAAGAGGACGTCAGGGCCAGCTCTGACAGACAGCCTCCCCCACCTATCAGGTGCAGGCATGCAGGGACACGCAGAGCACGAGTGGGGGCAGCCGTGCCCCTGCAAGACCCTGACCTTCTCCCTGTCCCCTCAGCCAGCGGTACTGCATCTGCAACCCTGGGGTGGTGCGGCAGTTCAGAAACCCAGACACCATCTTCATCCTCGCCTTTGCTATCATCCTGCTCAATACGGACATGTACAGCCCCAACGTCAAGCCTGAGCGCAAGATGAAGCTGGAGGACTTTGTCAAAAACCTCCGGGGTAAGCTGCCCTGAGGCCGTACACCCATCCCTGTTCTCCCTCTACCTTCCACTCGGCCCTAGGAGCTGAGATGTGCGGGAGACCGTGCCGGGTTGCTGGGCTCCAGCTGCCAGGTGTGACCCAGAGGGGACTTAGAGAACCCAGCACAAAGTGCCAGGAGGAGCACCGGTGTTCTCAGGGCAAGGTAAACCCTGGGTGTTACTACAGGAGCAGGTGATGTCACCCATGTCCTTGAAGGCTGAACTGCCTTTTTTTACTGAACAGATGCGTTTTGAAAAGGAGCCTAATACCATCACCATAACCAGAAACCCAGCGTAAAAGTGTTCAGTGTTGAGGAAGCAGTGCCCTTGAGCTCTACTGGCTGAGGCCAGGGGGTGTGCTGGAGAGGTGCCCATGAGGTGGTCAGCAAGGGACAGCAGAGGGCAGTGGAGCAGCTCCATTTCAGGGGATCTGCCCCTCCTGCCCCTTGGAAGGAGGAAGGGGGATCCCTGCCCTCTCCTGGGAGTCTGTGCTGCAGAGCTGGTGGTGGATTTGAAGAAGTGGACTGAGGTCCCTTCAGAAACCGTGCCGTACACATTTTGAGGAAAGCAAGCCGACTGCTCTGAGCAGGCCCTTTATCGGCTTGCTGCGCACCAGGCTGTCCACTCTGTTTCCTTACTTTCATCAGCTGTGGCTCTGTCCCCCACCTCCCTGTGCAGTGTCTCCAGTTCCTCCCAGGGTTCCTGCTGGGGTCTTAGGGTGGCCTCGCCTGCCCCCTGCTGGTGGGGCCACTGTAGCAGGAAGGCCAAGGACACCCCAAATCATAGAGAGCCTCCAGGAGACTGTCCTCAGCTTGGTTCCCACAGTTATCAGAGGCGAGAAGGGGCGTTGACCAGGCTGGAACTGTGGTTCCCACTGTATGTGGCCCCAGCTAGGTCCAAGCATCATTGCAGGCTCCAAGGTCGAGGAGGGTCAAGTCTGCAATTCCTAGGAAATCCTATTACCAAGAGAGTGCCGCTGGCCCTGGAGACCCTTCAGTGTTGCAAGGGGACACAGTGTAGGCCCAGGGTTTAGCAGACCGTTTCCTGCGCTGACCCTCCCTCATGAGGCCAAGCTGATTCTGGTGGTCAGAGAACCCTATGCAGCCCCAGACTGGGGGAGGGGTGTCTGCAGAAATGATCAGCCTAGAGAAGGGAGGCTGGGGGCAGGACTACCACTGGGTCAGACATGTGGGGTCAGCCACCCCCATGGCACAGGTTTTGGGTTTGTATCTCACCCCATTCCATTGTCCCAGGGTGATGTTAAATTCCCACTGCCCAGGGCAGGCGCTAAGCACCCTGGTTTTAGGGGGAGAGCCCTGGTTCTGCCCCAGGCCTGGACTGTCTGCCAACCCCCACTTTTCAAGCCAGGAACTTCGGGCTGCTCTGTCCAGTCTTCATTGGCTTCAAAAGGCTCAGGAAAGAAAGGGACTGGCCCAGGGTCACAGAGCAATTGATGAAGCAGGAAGGGACCAGGTTCCCCCAAGTCCACCTTTGTTCTTTTCAGGAGACCCCAAACCCATTTCCTCCTGCAGTGACTTGCCTCAGTTTACCCAGTGGAGCTGACGGCAGGAGAGGCTATAGGAGCTTGAGGATTGCTAAAGGAGGACGGACTTGACCAACTTAGAAGCCACACAAGGAGTGTCTCCCTTGTTAAATTTTAAAACTTTCTGTTTATTTTCTAATGCCATCAGTAACCACACATGTCTCTCATTTCCCATGATACAAGTTCCCCAATAGCAGGCAGAGGATGCAAGGGCCTCAGAACTGACCATTCTGCCAGCCATGGCCAGGCAGCCTCCTCAGCTGCCTCCGCCTTCCACCTGTCGGGGCAGAGGTGGCGCCTGGTGTGAAGTGACCTGCCTTTCCCTGCCATGCTGCAGTCTTTCACTGTGGTGCAAGAAGGCAGCCAGGTGCAGGTGGTTACAACCTGGCTCCAGCCTCTGCCATGGCACAGAGGCTCCTCCTTTGCGGCAGGTGCTCTGTCTCCCTCACTTCCCCATAGCAAGCCCACAAAGTCACTAGCACTCTTGATGACCTGTTTTACAAAGGCCGCAAAGCTCAGAGTGACTCGCTCACTCACCTGCAGTCCTGCAGCTATGAAGGGATTTGAGTGAGGCTTGGTTCCAGGTCTGTGAGCTGAACTCACATCACAGGGCTGTGCTTAGGATGGAGCATGGAGGTGTTTACACAGCCCTGTGTAGGTAGCTTAGACAGTGTCACATTCCCCATTCTATCACCCACTGGCCTGGCCTGGTGGGAGGGAGTTTGTGATGAACTGGAGAGCTCCGTAGCTGTGCCTCTGGGAGGCCTGTGGCTCTGCTGGGGGCCCTACCTCCGGCCACCCTCATCTCCAAATACTGGCCCCCACCCAGGTGTGGACGATGGCGAGGACATTCCCCGTGAGATGCTGATTGGGATCTACGAGCGGATCCGCAAGCGGGAGCTGAAGACCAATGAGGACCACGTGTCCCAGGTGCAGAAGGTGGAGAAGCTCATTGTGGGGAAGAAGCCGGTATGTGCTGGGCTGGAGTCCTCACCCCACAGCCCTTAGGGTGACCCTGGGTGGCTCTGCTGCTTGTGGCCTTGATGCTATTGGAAGCTGCCCCCTGTCCTGGCAGAGCTGATGAGTGACCTTGGGGCTGGGGATACTCTTAAGTGGCTCCTTCCTGTGGTGCTGGGCAGTTGCAGCCTTTGCCCTGGGTTATAGTGAATGGCAGGCCAGGGTGGCATGTGGTCCAGCTCTCCCAGCACTGGTGGGCTTCCCTTGGTGACAGGGTCCCCTCGGCTGCTGGAGCTAGTGGCAGGTGCCCTAGGGGGAGGGAAGGCACAAGCTGTGTGCCTTTGCCTGGCTTCCTCTAGGCCCAGGTGTGGCTTGGGAATGTTAATACCCTTTTTGTGGTTTCCTGTTTTCCCATAGATTGGATCCCTGCATCACGGGCTTGGCTGTGTGAGTATTTCCTATCATTGCCCTGCCCACCTTCAGGAGCTACCTTCAGTGTGTCCTGCATTCCTCTGCCCTGTCCCCAGGTGCTCAGAGTCACAGTTCTGGCTGCTCAAGTTCATTTCCAAAGTGATTGGACGCCCAATTTCACAAATACCCAACTTCATACAGCCACGCAGAGATGGCTACAGTGCCAGGCCTGAAGTAGAGGACCCCCTCCCCCATAGGAGAGGAGCCTCTGCCCCCCTGTTGTCCAGATCCAGACACTGTTCCTAAAAGAGAGGACCTCCCTGTGGCCTCTGAGCACCTTACCTGCCTCTGCCTTCTCATCACTAGCTCCTTGCTCTGCTCTGACCACCTCACCCTGCCACCCCATGCCTTGGTTTTCCCAGCTCTGTCCTGACTGCTGCTACTTGTGGCCTCTGTGCCCTGCATGGCCCAGAGCGCACACGCACCTTGGGCGGACCCCATCTACCTGAACTCACCCCTCTCTGGACAGCCTGTGCCTCACCAGATCCTCTAGTGAGACACCAAGGCCCCACACCCACCTTCCCGCCTCTCCCCATCACCCTTTTGCTCCCGGACCTTGCTTTGCCTCTCCTTGATGCACTGAGCTCAGCAGATTCCACCAGGTCACCTAGTGGACGTTACACTTCCTGCGTGCAAGTGCATTGACCTGCGTCTGTGTCCTGGGGGCACCAGGGTACTCTCAGAGCTGGGCCTTGCTGATGGCTCATCCCTCAGGCCTAAGACATGGGCAAGCAGGCTGGCTATGGCGAGGTCAGGGGACGCACCCACAAGGCCAGCAGCCCCACCAGAGTACGGCTGCTGGCTCAGAGTTTTGGACAGGTCTTTTAGGCGTCAGACCTGGTGACACCATGCAGAAAGACTGCCAGACGGGAGCAGGAAGTGGGTCCTTACTCGGGGAGAGGACAGTTACTTGGCCTCTGGGCTTCAGTTTCCTCATCTAGAGGCTTATGTGTGACAGACACCCCGTAGGGAAGTCAGGAACTGTGGCTTCCCTCTGGTGAGGGGTCCCATGATCATGACGTATAAAGCAGCCTGTTTCTCACCAGAACCAATGGAAAGAGGTCTCGGCAACAGTGAGGGCTTCCCGTATTTATTCGGGAAGGAGAGTAGAGGTCCAGAACCTTACAGAGCAGCTCCTAAGGTCAGAGTGGTGATGACTGCACCAGCCAAGACCCCTTCTGCCCTGCACAGTCTGGGGGATGGGGCCAGGTGCTCCCCATGGTGAGGGACCTGACTTCCTAGCTTTGACTTACAGACCCCAAAAGAGGGCTGCTGGTGGTGGCAGGACCTTCTAGCTCTGGTCCCAAAGGAGGCTGGTAGCAATGGTGGGACTTTTTTCTGCACAGGTGCTGTCTCTACCCCATCGGAGGCTGGTCTGCTACTGCCGGCTCTTTGAGGTTCCAGACCCCAATAAGCCCCAGAAACTCGGGCTTCACCAGCGAGAAATCTTCCTGTTTAACGACCTCCTAGTGGTAGGTGGCAGAGCCTTGGTGCCAGGCCCAGGGTCTCCATGTGGCTTCCCCCATGTTTGTCTGCCTGTGGGGACATGTACACATGCCTAGGGCTGGAGTTGGCTCAAAATCTTGTTACAAGAGAGAGAACCTAAGGCAAACAGTTGCTCTAAGAAGGGCTCCTTGGCTCAGATGAGTGTCCAGAGGGAGTCCCGGATGGGGTTTACTTCAACCTCAGCTGACTTTACAGCCCTTAGCAATGTCAGCAGGACTTCTTTGTGTTGTGTGCACTCTGAGCAATGCAGGCTCAGCCTTCGATGGGCACCCCATCCAGGCAGGCCCCCCATCCATGGGAATGGAGGGATGGCCCAGTAGCTCCAGACCTAACCCTCTGGTCCAGTAGCCAGTAGAGTTGTGAAGTTTTGGGGAGTAAATCCTTAGCATGTAGATAGGTGTCCACCCCTGAGCCAACTGCTGAGGCCAAGCAGTTGCAGGGCTTTGTGACTGGGAGTAGAGTCCTGTCACCAGGACCTATGGATGACAGGTACAGAGGCAGGGATGCCAGCCTGATGGGATAGACTCCCCACCATGAAGGGCAGAGACACTTTTCTTTAGCTTTCTGTCTCGGTATGCCTGGGCATTCTTGCAAAGGCCGCCATTCCTAGGTGCTGCCTGGAGAGGAGCCTCCCCTGCTGAGGTTGAAATCTAGACGCAGAGCTTCGAATCCTGCAGGGGGAGCCCCTGATCTCAGCTTCCTCCTCCGAGATGAGTCTCTGGGGCTTACTGTGGTCCAGTGAGACCCTCACGTACACCCCTTGCACAGGCCTGTCAGGTCTGGGCAGTAAAGATGGCTCCCCAGGCCTCCTGCCCAGCCTGCATTGGCCAGGCAGGAAGTCCTTCCATCCCATAGCTCTGGCTGCAGTCTCAGGACTGGATCCCAAAAAAGTCCAAATGTCCATCCCTGTCTTTCACGGTACCGGGGTCCAGGTGTGTGTGCTTCTTGGGGCTACAAGAAGGGCCCCAGCGATCACACGTTGACATGCCTGCACCCTCTGCATGTGGTACAGCACTGCCAGCCAGGATGGCATCAGTGATGGGAATGGGGAGCCTGGTCGTGATGAGGAAGTACACATCTTCTGCCCGCACCAGGTGTACCATGGCTTAGGTCTGTCTGCTCCCCAGGTCACCAAGATCTTCCAGAAGAAGAAGAATTCAGTGACATACAGCTTCCGGCAGTCCTTCTCCCTGTGTGGCTTGCAGGTCCTGCTCTTTGAGAACCAGTGTGAGTCTGCACGGGGCCATGGGAGCCTGTGCTGACACTCTTCTCCTTCCTGGTACCCTCTGGCTGGGACTCTAGGGGCTCCTGGGTGTGGTCTCCCTTCTGTCCCAGTGCTAAGGGTGCAGCGCAAACTGAAAGGGCCCTGAATCCCGGTCTGGAAGAGTCAGGTTTGGCTCACTCAGTACCCACAGTGGGTTGTATGTCCACCTGGCCTGAGCAAAGGTGGGACTGGTGTTTGAGTCAAGAACCTTGAACCATGCAGTGGGGATGCTCAGCCAGGTGATCCCGCTGCCAGGAGCCCAGAACCCCAGGGACACTGAGAATGTGGAAGCGCTACCAGGGAAGCCTGGGATGGAGGACAGCTCTGTTGGCCAGAATTGCCTGTGGGTACAGGATAAGACACACAGAGAATCCCAGCTCAGGGCAGCACCTGTCCTTCTCCAGGACTTGGCAGTGAGCTGGGGCTTGAAGTGAAGAGCCATCTCCATGACCTTCACTTATTCCACCTCTGCTGAGGCTAGGCTCAAAGTCCTCCTGCTCCTGTACTAACCAGGTCCCCATCTGATGCCTGCTTCCTGGACCTCGCAGAGACGCGCTGAACTCAGGCTCTCCCCTCCTCCCTTACAGACTACCCCAATGGCATCCGCCTCACCTCCGCTGTCCCAGGAGCAGACATCAAAGTGTTAATAAATTTCAATGCCCCCAATCCTCAAGACCGGAAGAAGTTCACCGATGACCTGCGGGAGTCTGTGGCAGAAGTGCAGGAGATGGAGAAGCACCGGATAGAATGTAAGTCCCAGAGCTCTGGGCTGAGGAGCCATTTGCAGGCTCTCTCAGAACTAGCTGGGACACCTTTCCTACCTGTCTGTGGCAGTGACTTCCCCAACTGCACCCAGAGAGGAGGCACCCCAGGTCTTTCTGCCTCTCCAGAACTCCATGCTAGGGCATCTCTCATGTGCCCAGGCCACAGAGGCCTCCTTGTTCCTTAGGCCATGCCTCCTAAGATCCAGGGCCTCAGAGCCCAGGCTCCCTTCTTCCTGTGCGAGGCCCTGATGTTCCCACTCCCTTAGGACTGAACGCTGGCTTTCAGTGTGACTGTCACACAGACCTCTTCATCAGGCCCAACATCTTTGGGGTCACAGGCAGGACTGTCCCCTGGCTCCAGGTCTTGCTTGCTGCAGGCATGTGATGTCAGTACCTCTGCCCTTCTGTGCAAGGGCCAGGCCCCTCCTCTCTCAGACCCAGGTCCACCTCGGCCTCCCTGTCCACTAGATCAAAGGCAGCCGGGCCTTGGCTGTGTCCCTCACCAGCTCTGCTGTGTTTCAGCGGAGCTTGAAAAGCAGAAGGGTGTTGTGCGGCCCAGCATGTCCCAGTGCTCCAGCCTGAAGAAGGAGCCCGGCACCGGAACGCTGAGCCGGGCCTGTCTGGACGACAGCTATGCCAGCGGCGAGGGCCTCAAGCGCAGTGCCCTCAGCAGCTCCCTGCGTGATCTCTCAGATGCAGGTAAGAGCTGGGCGGGAAAGCACCTTCCCAGGCGACACATGTGGGCCCAGGTCTATGGTCAGGACGCGCGTCACACTGGAAGGGCCTGCTCAGGAACAGCGCACTCTCGAGGTCCCAAGGCATCCCAAGAGAGTAGGGAAAACAGGAGTGTCTGGTCTCGGGGCAAGGACAGCCCGTGCGGAACGCTGGGGACAGTGCCCCCTTCTCCCCCTCTTTTTCCAGGGCTTTTATTTATTGCTTTACTTAACCTTGTGCAAACCGCTGTAAGGCCAGGCCAGCCAGGCTGGTGCGTCTTGTGTTCTGTGCTGCCGTGTCCCTGTGTTTTGCTGATGAATGAAATTGGCAAAGCCCTCTGAGCTGTCTGGAGACCCCCTCTCCTGCTGTCTTGGTCTTGCTTGCCCCCAGGGCTCCTTTCCTGGTAACCCCAGGCCTCTGACCAGCCCAAAGGCTGTGGCCACGGTGTGGCTGGCTCCAGGGTGCTGGGAAAGCCCTGGTGGAATCCGTGATTGTTGGTGGTCCTCGTTTCTGTGTGTGTTCAAGTTGCTGCCAGCCACTTAACCCAGCAAGCAGCAGTCCTCAAGCCTCCCAGAAGCTGATGGGCACCCTGAGCCTCAGAGACCTTTCAGTGGACTCACCCGAGCCTCAAAGAGGAGGCAGGGGTTGGAACATGCCGCTGCAGGCACTGTCAGAGGAGCAGTGTGTGAGGGAGGGTGCCCCGCAGCCCCTTGTCACCATGCATCTGTAAGGCCAGTCAGCTTGCCCGGAGGCAGCTCCAGTGGAGTGGCAGTTGTGGAGCTCTTTTCCCCCAGGATGTGCGTGAGCTCCTGGAGCCTGACGCAGCCTGGTTTGTTGGGAGGACCCTCCACCCCTGAGACACCCACCCCCCAGCCTACCCAGCACTCCATCCCAGTCTCACCCACAGCTTACTCATTTCTCAGAAATTGTTTATCCCTTTTGTTTGTTTTTGAGTTGAAGTTTTTTCTTTGCTTTTTGTCATTTTTTTCCATAGTAAAAACATGAAATTCATCCCCAGCATGAGGGTTTAAGCCAGAGCTTCTCAACCTGGACACTGGGCGAGTGCTTCCTTGCTATGAGGGCTGTGCTGGCCCTCTGCCACCTGAGACCTGAAACAGCTGCCCAGTCACGACAGTTCACAAGGTCCCCAGAAATGCCAGGTGTTCCTGCGAGCACACTGAGCCCTGGTTGAGAACCACTGGTTTTCCTGGTGGCCGTTTTCAACCCAGCTACACGTCACTGGACTGCTTGGGCTTCTGAAAGCCATAGGCCTGGGACCTCTGTTTGGGTTTGTGCAGTGTGACAGGCCCTTCCCTCCCCTCCCCTGGGGAAGCCCCCAGGTAGCAGTGGCCCTGTTGTGACTAAGGCCCTGTGGCTAGCCACAGCCACCCCAGGTCCAGTGCTCAGGAATCAGACAGAGCCGACTGACCAGGCCACGCCCATGCAGGGTGGATCTCCGAGGGGCAGTGCGTTCTGGGCCTGCAGTGAGAAACAACCAGAAGTGAAGCCCCAGGAAGGCTGGAGTGAAGTGAGGTGGGTGTTTGAGTCCAGACCAGGGAGTGGTCGCCTGTGATGTCCAGATGGAATAGCAGAGGCCGGCAGCCTATCCAGAAGACGCTGCCATGGGCGGCTGGAGAGGAAGAACCCTCACCAGGGTCACCCCTTGATGGGACAGCATCAGGAGCATACGCCCAATGGACATGGCCCACGCCCAGCAGGAACGTGGGGATGGATGAGGTGGCTAGGAGCAGACCCTCTGCAGTCACCTCCAGGAGGGAGGGTGACCCCTGCTAGTCAGAGATGCAGGGCCGGGCAAAGCCTCAGACAGGCATGGCCGGATCTTTGTGCCTGTCCCCCATCAGTCATCATGGTGGACAGAGTACAGAGGCCTTTGTAATCCGCCTGGCCCTCCCAGCTGAGCTGACAAGTAGCAAGTCCCCACAGAGAGGATGTCTCTGGGATCACGGCCATCCGGGAGAGTTGACAGCACTGGTGGTGGGTGGACCAAGCCTTGCCGCTGCCCCATGTGCAACAGCCTAGTGTCCAGGCCGAGCTTCCTGTTCCAGTCACTTCACTGTGCACCCACAGTGTCCAGCAGAGCCCATGGCACAGCATCAAGACCAGAGTCCTCACTCTACCTACCATTCTTTACATTGCTGAGTCTCAGTTCCCCCACGCTACACTGAGGAAGAGTCAATGCTGGCTGACTGGTATGCACCGCGACCAAGATGGTTGTCCTCTTTAGAAGGTCACCCGTGTGGCCCTCCATGGCTGAGGAGCAGCCAGGGCTGGACAGCTGCCCAGGGGCCACCAGGCCCAGGCTTACATGTGGCTCCTGAAGGATTGGGAGGGGCTTGAAAGTAGAGTGCAGTGGGGAGGGGTGGGACAGGGGCCCGAGTCCTCCGCCAGCAGGCCTTGCCCACATCTCCCCAGCTAGCGGGGCACAGGGAAGACCTGTGAGCACGGGGTTTAAAAAATTCCACATCACTCCAAGACAGCCAAGCTCCAGGCTCCTCCTCCTGCCTGTGTTATCCCGATGGCCTCAATCAGCTCCAGGCTGAGTCACCACCACTCTGCACTGCAGACAGGCAGACTGTCTGTCCTCTGTCTGGACTGCAGTCCACTTGGGCTGGGGGTAGGACTTGAAAGGGCCCAAGAGCTGGTTTCTACACAAAAGCAGAGATCTCAGTGTGTCCCTGTGGTGCTGTATCTCATGGTGCTGACCGCCCAAGAGGACAGTGGGGGAGGCGGGGTGTCTCCCCTTCACAGATGGGGAGACCGAAGCCAAGAGCCTAAGCAGTAGCTGGGCATGGTGTTATATGTCTGTAATCCAAGCCACTCTGGGCAGCAGAGGCAGGAGGATCAAGGCCAGCCCGGGGAAAAGTTAGCAAGCTTCCCATCTCAACAAACAGGACAGACGCGGCGGCTTATCCTGTAATCCTGACTACTCGGGTGGTAGAATTAGGTGGATCATGGTCTGAAGAGTAAGCAAACTTCAAGATCCTATCTGAAAAACAAACTAAAAGCAAGAGGACTGGGGCACAGCTCAAGGGGCAGAGTGCCTGCCTAGCGAGAGCAAGGCCCTGAGTTCAATTTCCAGTACTACCGGAAAGAAAAAAAAGCCTAAGTAGTGCCTGGTGGGGCCCAGCCCAGCCAGTACCTGTCTCTGCCATGTTCTCGGAAACTGTAAGGCAGGAAGGGAGGAGAGGGCAGCCCCTCTGTCACCTGCAGACAGATGGGGACACACGAGCCTCCTTCCGGCTGCAGTCAGGACCAGCCCTCCCTGTCCCCCAGGTCCTCAGCAGCTGGTGGAAGACAGTCCCGCAAATCTGACGGGGCCTCTGTCAACCCGGGCCCCTGCCTGGAATTGGGCTTGGGGGACATTCCTCCAAGTTGACGTGGCTGTGCCAGCCCATTTGACTTCGACCACAGCACAGAAGGACCCAGTCGCCAGAGCCAGGGGACACCTGGGAGGCAACAGTAGCCTTACCATCATCCACACGTCCAGCCTGAGAAGTGGACTCGCTGGCATGGGCACTGAGCCAGTCCACGTCGGCCTTTCCCTCCGATGTGCACAGATGACACCAAGAGTCACACACGGTGCAGTGCTCGACAGATGGAAGCTTGCAGAATGTGCAGAGCAGAGGATGGGGTCTCTGCTGCCTGGCGCCATCCTCCCTCCCAAGAGCTGGCCGGAGCCCTGAGGCTTGTACCTGGCAGGAAACCCAGAGAAAGGCTCGCCTTCCTCTGACAGCTACACAGATGGAGTGCCTAGTGTGCCACGCCTTAAGGAGGGCGGGCCAGACCCCTCCCCGCTTAAAAAATGCATTGCAGCATCCTGGGAGGGGGTCCCTTGACCAGGGCACTGCACAAACTGAAACTGAGCCCAGAGACACCAGAGGAGAAGGGGCCACCAGGTTTCGGCTCCTCCTAAACCTCCCACCGGCCCTACCCAGGAGCCGTGGGGAGATATACATATATATATATATATATACACGTGAGCACGCACGTGGACACGCACATATACGTATGTATGAAGTCCCGTGGCACACAGGCCCCACCCCGCCCGTCAGCCCACAGCTGAGGCCGGCCTGAGTCAGGGGTGAACAGCCAGGACTGTGACGCGGGCCCCCTGCACATGCCGCCCCAACAGCCCTCCCCACAGACCGCAGTCCAGGCTGAGGAGTGTAAGGTTGGGACTGGTTTCTTTGATATTAAACTCCTTGCTGCACTGCTGCCAGCCTCGCCACCGAGCCCCTGCTCCGCCCCCACACCTGGTGCTGGCGGGCAGGTGGCCGCGGGGGCAGACAGGTGACGCCAGGCCTGGTGTGCGCGTCTAACCTCTGGTATTGCATGTTCTGAGCAGGGAAGCGAGGGCGTCGCAGCAGTGCGGGATCGCTAGAGAGCAATGTGGAAGTAAGTAGGAAGCACCTCTGTCCAGCTGGCTGTCCTGTGTCGCCTCCCCATCCTCGGTTTATATCTGTCGTCATTTTTTGCTCTTCCTTCCCCTCCTGCCCAGAGACAGACTCAGCCCTCCCACCCCTGCCTGCCTCTGCCCGTGCATGCGGCTCCACCGCGGAGCGTCCAGGCGCACACCGCTTGTCTCAGCCTGACGGTGGGGGGTTCTGGAGTGTGTTTTCATTGCCACTTAACCCCTGCCCCTGCGGCCCCCAGCATGGTTAACCGCACTGCCTTTCTGACCCCATCCCGGTCCTGCCCTGGCCGCGCTGCTGCTGGGCGGCTGGCCCCGGCCCCTTCACTCGCCCTCGTGCTCGATGTGTTGGCCACCCTGCTGCCCCCTCGCTCTGCCGTCCCACTGCTTCCTTCCCGGAGTTTCGCTGGCTGTGTGTCTGTGGTCAGGACACCATGGAATTGCTTAGCTAGCTCGCGGGAGGAGCTAGAGAGAAAGGAAGTCAGTGTGGATTTCATTCATCTCCACCACCTCTCCAGTGCCGTCCACACCCTGGCCTCAGCTGGCAGATTTCTGTCTCCCCCTCCCTTGTTTGGTTTGCGGTAGGGGCTGCAGCAAAATGCGGAGGGAGCCCATGTCCCCAAGGACCAAGTTGCAGGGCTCACTGCTGCTGCATCTCCTCAGACACCTTCAGACCCCCACATGGGCAGGGCCAATGCCTTGGGCCCAGGAGAGTTTAGGGCACAACTTTGCAGGCATGGGATTCCTTTTCCATACCCATCCCTCATCTGTCCCACTTGTCGTGTCCTGAGACCCCAGGCAGGCGGCGGGCACTTCTGCTGCTGTTGTAGAGAGGAGGTCAGTGCCCCTTCCATCAGGGCCCCGCCCCTGCCTGCCCTCTGACCAGGGAGTGCAGCTGAGGGCTTAGACAGTGGGTGACTTTTTACCTTGAAAAGCATGGTTCTGACCTGCATCCTCTAAGGTCTTTTAATTTTCATTTCTATGAATTTCCTTTTTAGGGCTCCATCATTAGCAGTCCTCACATGCGCCGGAGAGCGACATCAACACGACAGTGTCCATCTCGCCCCCCCCAGGCCATGCCTAACTCATCCTCCCTCCTGGGCTCCTTGTTTGGGAGTAGACGAGGGAAGCCCCCTCCCCAGGCCCACCCGCCCTCAGCCCCTCCCCCACCCGCCCCTCATCCACCACACTCCTCCGGTCACCTCGCAGGGCCTGCAGAGGGCCCGTCCCAGGTGCATGGGCACCATGCCCAGTGCTGCCATGTGCAAAACCCACCCCCCTACCACCACCACCACCACTACCACCCCCCCCCGCATCTGCCGCACGCCCACCAATACCACCACGGCCCTCATGGCGGGCACCCCCCGTACGGGGCCCACGGCCACCCACCACTGCCCTCAGCCCACACCAGTCACGCTGGCCACACGGGGCACACTGCACACCATCACGGGCAGCCGCCTGCCCCACCGCCACCCCCCACCAGCAGCAAGGCCAAACCCAGCGGCATCAGCACCATCGTGTAGATAGTTCGGGTGCTGCCTCCCCAGCCGTGTGCACACAGGGCCGTCACCCTCAGACCCGCCCGGGTACCGCTCTTGCCGTCGCCCCCACCCACACCTGGAAGGATCAGGGGCCTATGGCCCACCTTCCAAGGAGCAGACCACCCGGGGCTCGTCTCCCCATGGGCCAAGTAGACTCGGAACTGCCTCCACCACCCACCCCCACTTCACATGCATCTGCAAACCCAGCCTAGAAAAAGAAGAAACGAAACACAAAAAAGCAGACAGAACAGACCCCCAAACCTGCTGCATTATTGCTCTGTTATTGACAATGGGCAAAAAAATTAAGTAGACCTGATATGGTTGATGAAAATACGTAAGTAAACTTTATATAATATAAATATATAAATATATATATATATATATATACTGTATAGGTAGTGTTTGTGTGTGAAAGACAAGCATTTCAGTCCACAGCGTTAGCAATATAGACCTCCCGAGGATCTCCACTTACTGATAGGAAGACAGTCCTTAGACGAGTGTGTGAGAAAGTAGACCAAAAACTTCCCTGCTAGCACAGATTCGGATCCCTCCATATTTTCATACGAAGAGCTCCCTGTAGGCCTGGCTAGATCTTACACGATCATTACTAACTGTGCCAAGTACCATAGCATCTGCCCGTCTAAAACCTCTCATACTGCTTTGTATAAATCCTTATTTTATTAACAGAATATTATCCTAAGTAACCAGTATTATAACTGCTGTTATTTCAGGTAAGCAACTAGATAAACAGTCACCTCTACCGTAGCAACTTGGGACACCTAGTTCAGAGCTGGTGTCTCAGGACCTTGGTCCCACAGATCCTCAGACACTTCCTGGCTGTTGTAACTGTGAACTTCCATGCTCCATGTTCCTTTTCTATGCACAAGATTGAACCACACCCACGCCCAGACCCCAGAGGGCCCACACGGTCCAGGGACCCATCTCCCACACAACAACCCTCCCATCCTCGCCTCCCTGCCATAACTCATCCTGAACCCCGCCACGCAAGCAGGAGCCGAGAGCATCCCCACGGGGAGGCGCTCTGCCCCTGAAGGGTGGTGTGAGCGCTGGGCAGCCCAGGGCTGTGTGTCCCGTGTTGTGTTCTGAGTGGCAACAGCGATCCCTGTAATTCCATGCAGTCATGTGCTCGCCACCCCCTTGTCATCACCGTGGTCACCATCGTGACCCCGGTTCACCAGTGCCCAGTCCTGGCCAGGCGAAGCGCCCGCTGCCTCTTGTGGTCCAGTGAGCTGCCAGGCCTCACATGACCTAGCCGTGTTCTTGTCGCTTCTGTGTGTGATGCCATGCACTGCCCAAGTCCCATCTGCCTGAGTCACCCATGGGCCATACTTTGCAGTTTCAGCCTTTGGAGCCACTGCAGCCGCCCGTGCCGTGCTCCTAAGCGTGGGACTGGAGGACTGTCCGTGGCCCTGCCTGGGCCGAGGCCCCTTCAGAAAGGGTGAAGCTGCCACCTGACTCTGCGGGCCACAGGGTTCCACAGCCAGGGATCATGCGAGCCAGGGCTGCACGGCAGCAAGAGACGGGAGCCTGCCCACACTGCGTCCCCCTGGCTGGCCGGCCGGGGTCGCCCATTTTCCTCCTCATTCCCCGTCATGTCACCAAGGTTATGTACCAGCAGATCTGCAAACTGAGCACTTTGTTGTCCCTGCAGAGAGCAAATTCAGCCAGCTGGAGGGTAGCCTTGTGTCACGTTAGTGACTGGCCTGCCACCCGCCCTCATCGGTGTAGCACTTCTCTCTCTGCCTTCTGTCCAGAAAGAGAAGCGACAAGAGGAGTGGTGTGTCCAACTCAGTCTGGGCTGGGCTGGTGGGAAGCCACTGGCTCACTGTCTCCAGAGTTTCTTGTTTCCTCTCAAGTCTGGCTCCCTCAGGCTGCCTGACGAGGAAGGTGGAGCGTGGCACCAGCGCCAGTGCTGAGGCTCTGCTCTCCGTACTGTACACTTGCAAAACATACCAGTGTTACTGTTGACAAATAGTTGAAGTAAAGTGATAACATATTAAGTATGTCGGCTTTTCTTCACTGTGTACAAGGGCCAAGTCACTGTGAACTTGAGGTTGTTCCAGAAGAGGCACTGGGTGTCCCTCCCTGTGCGAGGGCATCGCTCACCAGCAAGACCAGAAGAAAGGCCAGGGCATCCCAGGCAGGGCTTCGCTCTCCGCTGCCTCCTGCCAGCTCTCGGCCTCCAGCACTGGCTTCCGTGTGTCCCGGTGCACAGGGGCAGTGGGAAGCATCTAGGAACAGGGCTTCGAAGCAACCCCACACGGTGCTGGGTTCTCGTCATAAACAGGGAAGCTCTGCCGGGCTGGGGATTGAAGTCATGCCACCAGGGTCTGGCTGGAGAAGCAGAGTTGCCAGCGTACTGCTGTCCCCCGCTGTCAAATTCACAGGGCTGTGATCTGTGGGACCCCACCTATTACACAGCCATGATTTCCAGACAAGAAGAGGCAGAGTTGCCCCAAGTGTCCACCTGTTCTCTCTTGCTGTTTGTTAGGTCACCAGTGGGACTGCCTTCTCTAGTGCACAAGGTACTTCAGTCACCTGGGGATTAGTGACAGGGGCAGGGCACCCTTTAGGAGGTGGCTGGTAACATCACAAAGTGTCTTTTCTGGGACAACAGTGAAATCACTGATTTGTATTTTTTAAGCTTCCAAACAAACAGGCTGTACAGTAATGTGAGAGCTGACCCTGGTGGGAAGCGCGCGTCCTGCCTGAAGAAAAAGCCATGCTGTGTTGTCGGTAGAGGCGACCTGGCAAAATGCAGCCAAGAGCAGGGAGGCAGGGCTTGTGTGAGAGGGGAGGAGGGAGGGGGAGGAGGAGGAGGAGGAAAAGGAGGAAGGAAGGGGTATGAAGAGGAAAGACAGGAAGAGGAGATGCCACATGCCAGGTCTGGATTCCAAATAAAGAGGCCTGGTGAAGGCAGAGAAGGGCATTTATTACGCAGCTCCCGCATGCTACGGGAAGACAGTGAGCACTTGGCCCATCTTCCCCCATCCTGGGGTACAGACATGAGCTAATGGGGGCAGGGGACAAATGCACAGTTAAACGTCCCAGTCACAGGTACATTCTGGTTGACCATATCTCAGTCCGAGGATTCCCAGAGGGGTTCTGGAGACGGCGTTGTCGCTGTCATCACTTGCGGGGAGCCATCTGGTTCCCACGAGATGTTTGCTTCTGCTCCAGGGTGCAACCTCATCATTAGAGGTCGTTGTCCTCATTTGGAGGGGGGTCTGTCCTGCACGTTCCACTGTTACTTATGGGAAGTTTTAGTCTCTTGTAATAAAGATGTTATCCGTTCTGTCCTTTTTGGAATCCAAGGTGATTGCAAAGTGACTGTATAAAGAGAAAGGCTTAAAGGAAAGACAGATACAAAGTAGAGGCAGGGATGCCAAGCTTCTCCTGTTTTTAGTTATTTTATGTGCCCAAGTAAGGAGTCAGTGCTTTTCAGCAAAAGCAGTTTGTGTGCCTCTCGCATTACTTTGAGAGTTACTCTAGAAGATAAATAACACTTTAAACATAGGCTCGCACAGGCGGGTCACACCTGCAATTCTAATTGCTTGGAAAGTGGAGATCAGGAGGATCACAGTTGGAGGCCAGCCAGGTACAAAGTTTGCGAGACCCCTTCTCAATCAGAAAACCTGGGCATGGTGGCACGTGCGCGTCATCCTCGCTACCCAGAGAAGCATAAATAGGATCAAGACCCAGGTCTACTGAGATCTAAAATGAGACCCTATCTCAAATAACCAAAGCAAAAAAAGGCCTGGGGTCTCAAGTAGTGGAGTGTGTGCCTAGAGGAACTGTGAGGCTCCGAGTTCAACCCCAGTGATGCAAATAAAGAAAGAAAAATTGCAGGACAATGAGAAAGTTCTAGAAGTGGGTGACTGCACAACATGGAATGTGCTACTTCTGTGGAACTGTACACGCATTTATCATCTGGGTATTTTACCCCAATTAAAAAAGAAACAATAGCACAGTGTGGGGATTAGGAGGAGGAAGACACAGGACGTGTGAAACTGCACCCACCTGGGATGCTGCCATGGCAGCAGCGCTGAAGGTAGCCACGGGAAGAGGTGCACCACAAAACGCAATGCTGAGAACACTCGGTAATGCAGAAGAAGGAAGGAGGCCAGGCAAGACCGAACAAAGCAAATAAACGCAAGGAAGGGCTAGGAGAGAGTTAAACCTAACTAGATCAGTAGCCACGCCGAATGACCACATTGATGACAACCAGTTACAAGGCACAGGTGATCGGGACCGATGGCTTACAAGAACCCGACTTCATTAGTTTCATTTTAAGCCTTTCATTTTGAAATAATTGCAAATGAGAGAAAACTTGCAGACAGTATAAAGTTCCTGTGAAGCCTGCACTTGGCTTCTGGCAGAACCTAATGCAGCCGAGGGAAAATGATCTCCGTTAGGAAACTGACCTCTGTGTGACAACGCTAACTAACTATACTGCAGAACTCACGAGGACTTCCGTGCGGGGTCCAATCCCACACACCACACCCTAATTGGTGTGACTCCTCACCTCCAGCCTATGACTGTTCTTCAGTCTTTGTCTTTCACACTCGATCCTTTGGAAGCTGTGGTCAGTGACACTGTGCAGTGTCCCTCAGTTTGGGTCAGCCTGATGGTCTCCTGTGATCAGACTGAGGTGATGTGATGCATTTTGCGTTACGGGGTGTCATGGTGTCACTGGGTCCTGCTACTGGAGATGTACTCATGAGCCTGTTTCTGCTGGTGGCCGCCAGGATTTTCCATAAAGTTGCTATTTTCGCCTTTGTAATCAACAAGTATATAAAGTTGCAGACAGGAGACTCTCTGAGTGGTCTTTCTCCTTAAACTTTCACCCAATGGAGTGTCCATTAGTGAATTTGCCTCTAGCAACTGCAATATTCACTAAATAATAATTCTGTATTTCTATGATTCCCTTTATACTTACTAGGTGAGCCACAAATCTGCCTTGGCAGTTAAAATCCAAATGTGGATGCAGAAAGATATACCATGCCAACTCAAATAAAGACAGTGGGACCCAAGCATGGTGGCATGCGATCCAGCTATTTGGGAGGCAGAGGCAGGAGGATCGAGAGTTCAAGGCCAGCCTGGGCTACACAGTGAGATCCTATCTCAAGAAAAAAGGGGGAAAACCTGATAGAAATAGAAAGGAAAATACACAAGTACAGTCAGAGATTTCAATAACCATCTCTCAGTTTGATAAAAAAATAAAAAGTAGAAAATGTGTAAGGGTACAGAAGATTTGAACACCTTTATGCACAACCTATCCTAATCAACATTTACAGAACACAACACCAAAACAAGTTTTCAAGTAGGAATGCAGAACATTTTCAAAGAGCCACAAAACAGATCTTGATCAGTTTAAAGGGATTCAGATTACACAGTGTTCTATGACCGCGGTGAAATGTGTAGACACTGACAACTGAGCTAACACCGCAGACCTACGGACTCTGGAAGGACAAGATGTCAAGGGAGAATTAGACATGACTTTAGGCCAGCAAATTCAACAACTTTTTAAAAAATGGAGAACAACCTTGATAAACAAGAACTAGCAGAGTTCACATTACAACAAATAGAAAACCTCAACACCTCTGTCTACTAACAAAACCGCATCAGTTAAAACCTTCCCTTCACCTCCAGGCTCAAATGGCTTCACTAGAGAATTTCATCAAGCACTGCAGACAGAAATAACAGCAGTCTTGCACAGTGTCTTACAGAAACTTGAAAAGGAGGGAGTACTTCCCAACTCATAACGTGAGGTTAATATTATTCTAATTTTTGAAACATAAAAATATCCCAGAAAAGTAAACCAACCAATGTCTCTCAGGACCAACAATACAAAAAAGCACAATGCGTCACGACCACGCAGGAGTTACCGGGGGGATGGAAGGGTGGGTCAGCAGTTAAAAACCAATCAAGGTAATTCACCGTGTCAAAATACTAAAGAGGAAAAATAGTCTCCACAGATGTGAAATGAGTACGAACGATGAGAACTCAGGAAATCAGAGATGACGGCAAACGTCCACGACCTGAGAGGACATTTACGAAAACCTGACAGCTAAGGCAGACTTGGGGACGAGGATACAGGGCGAGGAGGCACCCAGCGTCACTCTGGAGACCCAGTGCAAGCAAGCCAAGCGAGGGTCAGGCTGAGAAGAAGTCAGTAAAACTTCCTGTCACCCACATGGTCCTCCTTCCCACAGCGTGTGCCAAAACTCCTAGAACCACTAAATGATTCAACAAGGCTGTAAAACAGGATCGGGTCATCAGCCACCAGCGAGGTACCCATCCACACCTGCCAGAGTGGTTCAATAAAACCAGCAGTACTTGCACCCTGCTGGTGGGGGTGCAGTGCTCCAGAGTGTGAGTTCATGGCCAGCCTGGGCAATAGTGGTAAATAAAATAATGACATAAAACAAATAAATATTAAAAAATAAAATAGTGACAAATAAAATAAAACCATTTGCAACACCACCAAGAAGTTGTAAATTTGATCAATTTGAGAAACCATCAAAATGCTTTATGGGTGATACGACAGACCATTGAAAAACCTTCTGACAAATTATCCAAGGCCTATAAACAAAAAGCCACCCACAAAGAACCACTGAGAGAAACTGAGAAGACCTACATATGTAGAGAGCTATGCTGCAACTGTGAATTCGATCCATGAATTTATCGTAAGCCTGACCCTAACTTCACAGGCCTTTCTGAAGGAAAGACGTATTAAAACTGATCAGGAGCTGCGCACAGTGGTACAGGCCTGTAATCCCAGCTTCCCTCCTTCCTACCTGAGGATGTCGGGTTGAGGCTAGGCTGGGTAACATAGCAAGACCCTGTCTTGAAAAATAACATAAAATAAAATCTATACAATTGGTTAGGAAATGCCCAGGGCCTACAAGAGAACAAAGCAGGAGCAGCACTGCTGCCTGCACAAAGTCTTCACATGACACTCGTGGGAGGACAGGCAAGCACAGCACTGCAGTCAGCACTGAATTCAGCAGCGGGTCACAGGCGGCTAGTCAACTCACCAGGAAGATGCAGCTGGAATGACTGGACAGCCATGCACCGAAAACCCTCTTCGTGCCACCTCACACCATTCGCCAGATGAGCCTGGGTGTGGCACAGACAGAATCACTCAATTTCCAGACATTGTTTCATTAAAAATATTTATGTTAACATGTTACACCATATTTTTCAGCAAAGTAATAAAATGAACACAACTTTTTAGATTTCTCAGTTTCAATTCTGGAAAGGCCAAATGCTGGTCGGTAACACCACATCTGCCACTTTTCTCTGGGATCCTCAGTGTTGGAAGGGCTGCTGTTCCTCCAGCCCTGCTGAGGCCAGGCCCACCTCCCCCTCTGCCTGCAGCTGGGCTGCTGCAGGCTCACAGACCAGGGCTGGTACACAGTGCAGCATAAGCCAGTGATGGACAACTGCCTGTGTCCTTGACCTTTGTCTCATTTTTCTTGTTACTCACGGTTGCTGTGTTTTACACTGGTGTTGGTCTGCAAGTATCTTTCACCATGGAGATACAGAGAGGCACTCACTGCTTTTTTTTTTTTTTTTTTTTTGTGGTACTGGAGTTTGAACTCAGGGCCTACACCTCAAGCCACTCCACCATCCCTTTTTTGTGACGGTTTTTATTTTTGAGATAGTGTCTCTCAAACTGTTTGCCTGGGCTGGTCTTGAACAGCAATCCCTCTGATCTCTACCTTCTGAGTAGCTAGGATTACAGGCGTGAGTCACCAGTGCCAGACCACTGCTATCT